AGGCACTTCAGACCGTGTAACAAAATAAGAAATATTTTAGAATGTATATTTTACCAATACCAAATATCACTTTTATACTATCAATTAATTATTTAACTAACAAAATAGATAATCATGTTAAAAAGTCAATTCGGGAAAGGTTATTTATTGCTAAACAATCTTGTTGTATAGGAAATTGTTTGACCTGGAATTAAAAATATATAAAAATTAGGAATTGAATAAAATGAAACATACAAACCTCTTTTAGGTAATAATCGGCGTCAAGTTTAATTTGATTTTTAATTTTCTTTTCATCAGAAACTGCTTCAGAACCTCCTTGATTAGTAAATATCTCTTCTGTGTTAGTTAAACTTCGATTTTTTAATCGTCTCAATGATTTTTCAGTTTCAGATACAGAATGTAACACTTCTTTTATTAAATCTAAATACTTTTCACTTGTTTTTTCAATTATACTAACTAAAATGTTTTCGGATACACCAGTATTATGATGGGCTTCGTGAAAACGTTTTAAATCGCTAATTAAATCTATCACGTAAGGGCTGGGAACTTTAGGGGCGCTACGATTCGTTTTTCGATAAATACGAGGAATTGAACGAACTTGTTGTAAATGATTATGTGTTGACTGTACTTTCCTTAAAATTAATTTATTTTTTATTACGTTTTCGGTTGATTCAATTTTAGTGCCATTTGTTTTGAAAATTTTGACTAGAATGCTCTTCACCTTCTCAGGAAGAATTCTATATATACTAGACTCTATGGGATCACAAAATTTCAAACCAACTTTAGTTTGTAGTGCACTTAAGTCAGCTAAGCAGTGTATGAAAAAAATATCCAATTTATTTTTGTCGTTTTCCTCTGATGCAAACTGTAAAAACCATACATTCAATTATTAATAATATATTATGTATTATTTATCATACCACATCTTCTAGCCATTTCAAATATCTTGATAAAAGTAGCATTGAAAGTCTAACAAATTGGTCAGTCAAATGTTCCAAAAAAACTTCTTTACTAAAACATGAACATAAACATTCCCAAAGAACGTCTGTTGGATTTAAATAAAATAATTTCTTCTGGGCAGATTGTGGGTTTCCTGTAATTGTTGAATCCTCAATAATGCTCTGTTCCAGCTTAGCACCAATTTGTTGATATCTTATCTCAAAATAAACTGGCAAATTGAAGCGTTTTATATGAGCTTGATAATACTGACATTTATTTTGTTCCGCATTTGGATCATGTTTCATTATCTCCAGTAAAAAGTTCCAAGAATCATGGAATCTTTTTTGGAACAAATATGGATTCCCTGGTGCTGTAATGTTTGATAAACCTTCTATAAGTTCTATATCAACTTCTTTCCAAAAGCTATTGATTATGAAGTTAAATCCAGTCAATTCAGAATTTCTACAATAAAATTATAATGAAATAATTTATGATATAGTGAACAGTTAAAGACATACTGATTGATTAAAGTGTATAGTATATTAATTTCATTCTGTAAAATCTGTAATGATTCTGAATACAACATATTTAAATCTTGTGAGTTCTTATCAAGATTTTCTTGGGAAAAGATCATTTTCAATTTTGGTTTAATTACTTTTTCCCTTATAATTTTTTCAGCTTCTGCTTGCTCTGATAAGCTTTGATAAAGCTTTAAGCAGCATAAAATTGTTTTCTCATCTTTCTCTTGAAATGCCTTAAAAAATGCTTTATTTATGCATTCCTTTAATTTGTTTTCAACTTCATTAATGTAAGCTCCAAAATCAGAATGACTAAATCCTAGTTCTTTCAAATAATTTAGTTGAAACGAATATTCATTTACAAGCCACTTTAATGTCATTAAATCTTCTTTAGATAAATCAGAATGCATTATAGTGCACTTAATGTATGTGATTGATGAAATTATGCCTATTTTAAGATTAATTAAATGTTGTTCTCGGTCACTGTTTTGAAGATTTCTTGATATGTTCTGATAGTTGTCTTGGATCTTTGTTATGAAATCGTGAATTGTCTACAAAATAATCTTAATTACTAAAGTGCCATTTTATATTTTGCTTATCTTACCCTGATTTCTTCTCTAAACTGTAAAACTGGTTGGGATAATTTAGATACTTTTGACTGAAGCAAACATAAACTTTCAGCAAAATGCACAATAGATTTAGTTTCTGTCTTTAAAATATTGATAGTTTCATTGTATAACTGGGCCCCATACTTTTTTAACTCTTTTCTTAGAGTAAGTAAATCACATTTATGCATGTGAGTTGATAAATAATAATCGACATTAAAATTGTCCTAAAAATAGTTATTAGACAAAAATTAAACAAAAATAGAATATGCAATATACATCGGAAAAGCAACGATGGTCAAGTCCTTTGCTTGTATCCATTGTAGGTACTATTGTTTTGTAGGTCGTACTGGTTTACGTTTACGGGATCATAAGAATCACTTTATATTCCAATTGTAAGAATTAACCACTAAATATTAACACAATTAAAACTAAAACAGAGCATAATATAAAACCGAATGCACTTTAATATACCAAAATGATTGAGGTTATAATTTTCTTGACGTTTATAATTTGAACTACGAGTTGAAGCATATTTGATCTAATAAACATTAATGGTAGTTTGAACTACCAGCGTTTGTGTTGGAGTTTTCTTCTGTCACAGGTGTATTGAGTGTTGTCTATAGTAAGATGTCGTATTCCGTATTATTTTTGTTTTTGTAACCTAAAAAAAAAACTAACTTATTTGTATACAATTACTACATATTTATCTAATAAACAATTAAAATAGGGAGAAACGGTCATGTCTGATTCCGAAGAAGATTATATGTCCGATAAACTTCTACAAAATTGGTAAATTAGCTTTATGTACCCTGAACAGAAAGTTATTAGTGTACTTATTTCAGCGAAAAAGAGGACATTCGCCCAGGTTTAATATTCAATAGATCAAAGAAACGAGATCATGAACTATATAAAAAAACCGTCTCAAGTCAAAAAAAACCAAAGCTAGACACTGAAAATGAGATTCGTGAGCAGGGACTTCAGACTGCAATATCATCAGAAAACAAGGGATTTAAGCTTCTTGAGAAAATGGGTTATAAGGCAGGAACTAGCCTAGGAAAGTCAGAAAAGGGTGTAACTCAACCCATTCGTATTGAGGTAAAATTAGGTAATAAAGGTTTAGGCCATAAAACTTTGTTGGAAGAAAGAAAGAGGAAGAAAACTGAAGTCAACATTAACACTGAAAGAAACTTTAAGGCTTCAAAGATAGAAAAAAATGAGTTACATATACTGAAAAAAGACTTATATAAAGCACAAAAAGCATGTGAAGATTTAGATTTCAGAAATGTAAGTTTTTTTTAGTGGGTATTTATATTATTAATATTAATTTATTTTAGGAGAAGCAACTTCCTGATAAAAATTTTTTTTGGACAAAGCATACATTTTTAGAACTGACCAAGAAAAAGAAGAAAGAAGAAGATGAAGATTCATCTGAAGAGGATGAAGATGAAGTTGAAGAAGAAGAAACCAAAGAAGTTCTAGCGGAGCAATTGCATGATCTTCTTGAGTATTTACGAAATAACTATTTTTATTGTATCTATTGTGTTGCTAGAGCAACTGACATAGAAGATTTAAATTCTTTTTGTCCTGGAATATCAAGAACAGATCATGATGATGATATTTAATTTACTGTGTTTGGGAAGTTGTATTTATTAATAAATGGAAATAAACATTACAACACAAGCTGTGATATTTTTAGTAAATATAAGAGATTTATTTAATTTATTTTTTTATAGTTTGTGACTGAGAATTGTTCTACATATAATACTGAAATAAATACTTTTCAATTTCAATGTTTATTTTGTCTGTAGTTGGTTTAGGAATATGTGCATATTTTAAATTATATTTATGTTATTATTATTGAAAGGTATAAAGTCCTTTTTTGTCGTGCTACTTTTCAGGATACGTACGGAGACATATTGGAAGCTAAAACAGGAATTAAGAGGGACAGAGGTGGACCTAGATTATATTACTGTTCTTTTTTCTAAGGGATGTGGGATGCTCTAGTTTTAGGGAAATATGAAAATTGGTTCAGGGTATGAAAAAGTAGAGATGTGTCCAACTAGTCTTAGGACAGACGGCCCTTTAATGTTGAACTCGACCCCAACACTTTTCCCTATTATTTTCGAGTGGTGATGCCTGCGTTTCAGGAAGCTTTATTAAACTTAAGCATTATGCTTTTTAATATCGTATACCTGGTTGGCAGTTTATGAATTTTAAAATTGAAAGCTCTGTTAAAGTAAATTATTTAATAAGTATCAACTGTAGGTACCGTACTTAATACGATAATTCCGATCGGTAATAAAGCGAAGGGAGCGAGGGCTACATTCTATATCACGACTTTAAGAATTGTCTGCCCATGTACATATGTATATTCATATGCAATATGTAGTTATTAATGAGTGTTCAAAATTGCATCCGTTTTTGAAGAGACTTTAATTAAGGAGAGTATATTGAGCTGCAGACGAATAAAGAGACGAAACTGTGCATAATAACACAGATGGGATTAGCAAACGATATGCGAACATTTGCATATTTCTTTCATGCTTTCCGCCTACAAACAAGGATACCGTACCCTAAACCCTCTTGAATAAAACTAAAGCACTCAGCTAAAGAACATCTTGTTTTATGTTTTAAAAGCAATTATGAATTATTTACACCTGCGTCGTTTTATAATTATCTGCTGATTTTATTTAATGCTAGCTTTATCCGCAACTTCACCCGTGTGAAACTATTTCTAATTATTTATAATAAATACAATAGTTATAGATAATAAGCAATTTCTTAATTATTAACTATTATGCCCAACGATTTTCTGAAAATATTTTGATGTCTTTGTCGTATAAGTTGGTCGTCAAATTAATTTTTAATTAATTGTGATACGTGTGTAATTTAATAAGATTAAAATAAAAAAGTGTGATATGCTTGAGAAGACGGTTCCAATTAAAACAATAATTCTTTTGAAATAAAATTGCTGTGTATCTATACGGGATGTTGTCTGCGTTGGAAACAGGTCCACCTAACTACCCTCCAGTGTTTATTCGTTGTATACAAGTAGAATAATTCTTCTATGATCTCCACCGTATCCAGGACTCATCTGAATACGATACATCAAGTGTATATATGTTTGGCTGAAGAAAAAAATGATGAATTCCTTCAATTATATTTTCATACGATGCAGCAACGTCCAATTATATTGGCGGCATTTGCAAAAGCACGAGAAGGACTCTCGAAGTAGAAAGCGAGCTGTATTCCAGAAGGAATTTATTCGTTGACCTGAAACAGCGTGGCTGTTCATCCCCAACACTCTTGCTTTTATACGGAGCACAATTTGCTATGAATGACGGAGAAAACAGAAAAGCCGCCCTTTAGGGAGTGTAATGATGTTAAAAGCACAAGTTATATGTAAATGCCAGTAGAACATCCATACACAGTCAGGCGCTTAAGAATCAAAAGATGAAAGGGACTACCGACCATAATTTTTTTTGTGTAACAAAAAAACTTTGAACTTCTTTTAATTCCTTGATGCAAAACATAAAGCTATCGAAAGGAAATACATTTTTAATTCAAACTGCAATTCACCCCTTACTTCTGAAATGTAAGGTCGAACATCGTGTTTTAAAAATTCTTTCAAACGCGCGAAACATTTCAAAATATGAAGATATCCTAACAGTTATGCCACCGTGCAGTCATAAGTGCTATACACGCAGCATCGAAAGAGCTTTCTTTTTTTTATTGTAATACGAAATTGTATTGTTTTTTAATTAGTGCATTGCGTGCACCGTAATCTGTAACGGGTTAGCTTTTAAATATATCCTTTAGTTTCTCTCGGAAATCCTTGGATAAACTTTTATGCGATCATAAAGTAGGAGCAAAAAATGTAGACAACCCGCAATACAATACGGATTGTGTGGTACAACTTTAAATTATTAAACGTAATGAATATTGATTTTAAGACTTCCATTATGAGTTACAATATTATTTATACTATTTAAAAATTAGTTTTATACCTATAATTTTTTTAGAGAAAATAAAAATATTTATAATTTATACTAAATAAAATTGAAGATGGGGGGTGTTAATACAAAAAATTTATATCTAGGAAAAAAAAAACATTTTATAGGTGTAAAAAATATATAAAATATATGCAGTATTCATGTGAGTATTTATACAATTTCATCGTAAGTAATGTGTTTTCTGAGAACTTCCGTAAACACTCCCTAGGAATTTTTTGTGTGGACAACTACTCAAAATACCTACATTATCCGTCAGGAATGAGTATCCTATTAGAGTAGAAACGACATTTGATAGCAGTTTTAGAAAGAATTTCTATACACAGAGAAATGCTTTTGATTAAGGAAATGACCATAATTACCCTTTGATCGTAGTATTCACGTGACAAAGAGATAAAATCTAAAGACCAGCAGGGTGAGTTGCGCAACTTACTCTATAGAGTGCTAAGTTCGATTATATTCGCTTTGCAAGGGTGTTGGAATAGGAAAGCAGCACTTTCAAATTAAGTAGACGCATTTTCAAATTAGTTGTATTCACTGCACATTTCGTATTGTCTGAATTTATCGCGACCGGTAGATACTTTTCTCTCCATTTACTTACAGTTTTATCAGTTGAATGTTTCGAGTCAAAGAAAATCTTGTAATAACATAAAAAGCTTTCATTAAAATATTTAATTGTAAATTAAATTTGCGGACGGTAATATATAGGCACATTTAACGATAGTAATAGAAAGAAATCCTTCGTGAAACATTTTGTAAAATAGACATCAGGAATTAAGTTAAAAAATAAAAAGAGTTAGAAAATAGTCGGTAAAGTTTTACAAAATTATGTGAAACTTGCCATTATTTTTCAACTTAACGATATAATTTGTAACTAGACAGGCAAAAAGTAATAAATTTATCATTCAATTAATATTAATGAAAATGTTTTTGCAACCGACTAGATGTGGAAAATTATCTGGTTCAGAAGGAAAATGAGAATTTTTTGCTCATGATGATGAGTGAGTGATATTTGTAAATGCGAGAATGCATTTTTCCGGTGTTCAGTAAAAAGCAACTATAAAGAAGACAAACCATAAACAGTATAACAGCATTGCAGCTAAAGTGGAGGTGCGGATGGCGGCAGGTGTAGAAGTGGTTTCTGGGGGAGTTGGATCCGGGCAGCTGCAACCTCTCCCCTAGGATTTGAGCTCCTCCTTCTTCCCGCCCTTCAAATAACAGGAGGGACTATTGGTCCGCTTAACTTTGCGCCAATCTGCTCGGCTTTCAGCTTGTCTTCATTGGCGAGACAAATCTCCGAGCCATGGTGTCTTCTTCTCTTTTACAATTTACCGTTTTATGCCTGTCCTCACTCAAGAAATTGCCAGGAATTACCCGCAATCCCGGATACAAATTTAGATCCGAACAGTTATTTCATACCACAGATAACAAATTTTCATTATCCACTCATTATATCTACTAATACCTAATATTTTGATACCTAGACACACTTAGGGACTTGTAGCTACAGGGGTGCCCGGGTGGGTCAAGGACAATTTATTGAAAGTTCTGGTCCATCATAAATATTAGTATAACCCTAATATAAAATATAAAACCATAATTGTAAGCATTTAACTTTACACAATACAGAACGCTTTTCAATCCAGTCATGCAAAAATATCCAATTTTTTTCTCAATGAACACTAGTGTCTAAAGAAAATTTCACTTATAGGTAGAGAGATGGTAAAAGTAGGAGAGGAAATTTACATGCGGTCTAAGACACTTGTTACTTTTCCTGCCCAGGTGCGTAATTTTTAGTCTTACTGTTATCTACGTAACTCATAGCGTCTTGAGACAGGCAGCGAAAAAAAGCTGTTAGCTGTAGGTTTAGTTATTTTGTTTTGTTTACGATTACCTTTAAAAAGAAAATTTATAAAAAAAAAGGAAATTAAAAGCATACTTCTGCCGTGTCAGAAAATTAGTAAGTATAAACAAAATTTTATACCTACCTAAACGTATCTAGCTGCGCTTATAAAAAGTGTCTTTTATAAAACATTTCCGTTACTAGAAATTTCTTTATTGTTATTTGTATGCCTCGGTACAATAAACAGATTATTTAATTTTAAACAATATCAAATGTTTGTGTAGGTGCATTATTACAAAAGCCGATAGTTTTCCATTAGTAGGTAGGTAGGCTACCGTTTTGAATTTTGTAAGGTTCTAAAAAAATATTATGTACTTATTGTAGAAGGTGGAGGGCCAACTATTTAAATGTTAACAAATACTTAGAAGATATTAGGTGGTAGGTAATAAAAAGAACGAGCATAATGATGGCTGAACAATTAAATAATTTTCCCTGCTCAGCTTCAGTTTATAGCTGCTATGACGGCAATTTGCCTTTTCCTGTGTGGTGGGGGTTGAGCAAGGCAAGGTTGCCGGAATTTACCACCACCGCTGTGGCGATGCCGCCGGTGATGTCCCGATGCTCGTTCTTCAGCAGCTGGCCCTTTGCAGCACTTAGACGACTGGCAAGATTTCGAGGCTCGCATGATAATAAAGTTCGCGTAAAAAAAGCCCCCGTTAGTGATACGGACTATTTGTATGTGATTACTCAATACTGTAGTGGTGGATGTGGAAAAGTGACGTTGACCGAAGGATTCTTCGTCCTTTGGCAAAAGTAAGTCGATTTGGATTTTTTGATGGTAACTTGTAAGGTACCCACCACAGGTTTGTACGTAAGTGATGGTAACTATTGGTTTTGGAAAACGAAACTACGAGGTTAAATTTAAAAAAAAAATTAAAACTAAAACCATAATTTTAAAAGTAAGTAATTAGTGCTTATTCACCATTTATTTTTATATTGTTTTATTTTATTATTTCCTAACAATAATACACTTTATATATCAAGGTGTTAAGGATTTTTATATAAATTTTATTTTATTGTTCATTTATTACTGAGAATTATTCTTTCGAAACCAAAAAGTAGTAAGGAATACGATACATCAAGTGTATATATGTTTGGCTGAAGAAAAAAATGATGAATTCCTTCAATTATATTTTCATACGATGCAGCAACGTCCAATTATATTGGCGGCATTTGCAAAAGCACGAGAAGGACTCTCNTAAACAATCAAACCTAATACAATATTTCTTTAGAAACTACAGTATCCCTGACACATTATATAAAATAAAGTTTATTTTTGTTTTTACTCTAAGATTGAGATAATTGTTCTAGATATTTCGTTTCCAATTTTGTATAAGGTGCCTAGGTACCAAGCGTGGTACCATTTTTAGTTTGCTATTATCTGACGCTACTCTCCTTTTAGTAGTACAACAAAAACTGAAGTGTTTCTTCATCGTTATGTCTTTTAAAACTTCTAACAGCAAATTTAAATTTTTATTTTAAATTCATTTGAGAATCTTGATGACGATCAACTATTTTAAAATGGCCGATGATGCGACGGCAAGCTTTAAAAATGGGTAGTTACCAAAAGTGAATTTAGGGTTTCAGTAAAGTTCTACTGGTACAGAAACGTTATCTATTCTTTATATCCTAAATTCGTGGTCTAAAAATACCTTTCAACTAATTCTTATAAAAATTTAAAAAGTGCCCAACTGATATTTATTATACAAAACACAGAATTATATATTAGGTATCATCAGTATTAGATATTAAAAACTAATTAAAATGAGAGAAGTGGAAACGATATGTAGTTATAGATACGCAAGAAGGATCTTTTCAGGATCAGGATTCCCTAAAATGAGTTAAAAAGATTTACATTATACTAATACCTATACTATGAGAAGTAATATCTCAAAATTAATCATTAAAGCAAATAACAGTAGATAAATTTTCGACTGGAAAATTATCACTTGAATAAAAATTTTAAATCCTTAGATATAATAGTTCTACTACTTTTAACAATTATATATTTTAGCCAGATAATTAAATTTTAAAATATTTTGCCATCATATATTAACACCAAAATTTATATTATATTTTAGGATACCATTTGAATTTTTCTACAATTGAAGACATTTTATGCACTAATTTTGCAGAAGTTTTTAGTTAATCCTGAAGTAATATACGTAATTCTTTTGTTCCAAATATCGATAAATTCAGATGTCTAATAAATCCCTCTACTCCATTCAAAAGAAATATCTAAATATTCAATGAAACATTTTAATATATTGAAAAAAAAAGATATATTGTGGTGATTTAGAACACAATATTAGTAAAATTAGAAGTGTAAAAATATTGCATTCATTTTTATTCCATATAAGATAATTCCTTAAGTATTATATGTGAGACACAGAACACCTCAAAATGTTACATTTAAATATTGGTTGTTTATATATTCAGATATATGGATATTTATATCACATAATACAAATTTTGAATATTTTAGGATTTTGAACAGGTATCTTAATATTTGTGAAATGAAATATTTCCATAGTCAAATAATTTGAATAAAATTTTGAAACCTCTAATTTAATAGCCTGATAATATAATTTTGTAATTGCACATTTTCGATTCTGTGACGGAGAAATGAGAAAATATTTTGTCTGATGATTGACACCCTAAAAGTTAGGATTTACATATATATACCTAAGTATACACAGTGCCTGGTTGAATTCGCTTGCATATATGCAAAAAATACAAAATAAATAAAAAATGCTATCAATGTATAAGTAGGTAAATAGTGGCTAATTGGTAAATATCTGTATTGTTATATGGCATATGATACGGTACGATGTACATAATACTTGCATATGTAATACATAATGCACCTAAATTCATAATCGAAGTTCGGTATTATTCATTTTTGTATACAAACATCGTGTGTATGAATTATTGCGGTAACAAAAGACATTTAAGTATTATGTGCATATACAAACAAAACTTGAACAAATATTGATTGATCCCGTAATGGGAATAAGTGGCTGCTTTAAATCTAAAAGGGCACAGGGAACTTCTAACAATTATTAGTTGCCTTTGTTTTTCCAATCGAAACCCCCTTACAGCCCCAACGGCTTTACAAAGAAATAGCACGGTTTGTACGAAGTGTACCTTAAAAAGAAGGGTGAAATTCGGTTTATAATAACGTATATCGAGTGCTAATATTTACTCAACATTACACCTTTACCTATAATAATGAAATGCATTTTATATTACCCACGTACATCTATATCTACCTTGCCTAAAAGTTTTTCTATAAAATTACGAAATTTCTTTTACGGTGAAATAACGAGTTTTTATACTAGTACAATGAGTAGTTAAAATATTTTCATTGACAATAGTGAAAAAAGGCGTCTAAATAGAATGAGTAGAAAAATCTATTTTTTTTTTTTAAAACACGTAATCTTATGGAAACTTATCTTTCATCATTTTTAGTAGGTAATACGTTTTCATAGTAATAAACTTAACTACATTTCAGATAGTTTTAATAAATATACCTATCGGCGTTTCAAATTTAGTATTAATNAATGTCATTTATATTTTTTAATTTAACGTGATTCTACGCATGGTGAATAACTGATACTGACCAAATTATAAAAAATTTTTAAATTTATTGTGCATTAATATATTATCAAAGTTTCTTTTAGGATTTTAGGGTATATATTATTTTATTTTCTAATTTCTATTGAGATGTTAATTTTACTGTTCAAAGTTCAGCCGGGCTACCTTAATGCAGTTCATGAGATAATCTTGGTGTTAGGTACAATCAATTGGGTTGTTTCCGTTGTTTAATATTATCTATTATCTACACATAGGTTAAATAAGTTAGAGAAGAGGGTTGTCATAATAAATTCATATACATTGTGTTAATTTGACATACTGCCGGAAACAATAAAAATGCCACGTGTTGGCGATTAGTTAATATAAGTAGTTTGTCGTTTATTAACTTACAGGAGTAGGTGTAAAGTTAGTTTCGATTTTTTTCGTCGCTTACACATCAGGGGACAATTTTATTTGATATGGGGGGGTAGTACTTAAATGATAAAAGCAACTAAAAATAATGAATATCACAAAAACACACTCTAAGACAATGGTACGTACATATTTAAATCATTCTTTAAAGGGTAATTCCTTTTATTTCATTAATTATTATTTCAATGAGTGGTGTGTGATTTATAAAAAGATCTAACTTATTCATTTGTAAAGATCGTAATTTCTATCTATCAAGAGCAATAAAATTTTAATTTAATTTTTTTAATGATGGTAAGTTCAATTAAATTTTATGGGTGAATTTATATTATAGGTATAGACTATTAATAGGTGGGTAACAAAATCCGATATATTAGTTGCTTGAGCTGTCCCACATCGTAAAAAATTTAGAGGCACGATGAACAGTTCTGTATTTGATAAAAATAGTAATCATTTTTGCTTTTTACTATTTTATTTACATTAAATTTGTATCTGAAACGCGATCCTTAAATCTTAGAGAAATTTAGTAGTCTTGTAATAAACTCGAAAACTATTTGTCCAGTACAATTTCTTATAACCAACATATCCTTATTTCATATAATCATCTAAAAAATCGACTCGGTTTTTGTTTCATTTAATAACTTAACCCCGTCTACATGCAAATTTTATCTACAAAAATCATATCCTTATCATTTGATAACTGTAACAATTAAAGAACTCTCAAAATTTTTGTAAAAAAGCACAAACACAAAACGAAAAAACAAAAAGGTTTGTAGTCAATTAGAGATAATTAGTTCGCAAAAGTGATTTTGGTTTAGGTCAACTAATAAGGGGCGTGGTTTGTTAAAATTGAATAGCGTTCTGAAATCCTTGTTTAAATTTTTAGAATCTACGTTCATTTTGTTGGGAAATTATTTATTATTTATTTTATTTGTCGGCAACTATGGCACGAACCCTCATCAAGGATATAACTGATTGTCTCAATCCTTGACGATGTTTGTCACAGTTGCCGGCAAAACATCAACTGTGGCACATACTTCTTAAGGAAAGGATAATTCAGGACTACGATCTGGTAACTACTAAGTATTAGAACACATTGTATCCTATGTAGTTAATATTTATGAAGTGACACATAATCACCCTGTATGTTAAATCCTATCAGAATAAGGATAAAGTAGTTGAATAGATAGATTAATACTTTTGGGTGGTTTAGTTGATAATCTTTCGTGCCGAAACTGGTAGAGATTACGATGTAAATATCAAGCAATAAAATGGCGTCCACAACAATTTGTTATTCTCGATAATGTACACGCTTGGCTAAATGTGTATATATCCATACGTTTTTCCAGAACACTTAAACGTTAATATAGTGGTTGATGTCACGCAATCTATCTGATCGTGGTAACAACTAGAAGCCTAACGTAAATTTACGCATTAAGAATTGATTACATATTAACGTTTAAAGACTAATGAGTAGTTACGTTGTGTGGCTATACCTCTACAAAGCACAATTTCTGATGAAAGTCATCAGCAATTTGATTAGCGAATGGTAGTTTGCCGAACTCTATTGAGCTGTTATCGACAAACGCGGGCTAAACTACATTTATACACGATATTGTACTTTCCCAATGTTGGTACATCCTACACACTAAAACTTATTAAAATATCTCAATATGTAACAATATTCATTAAATAGTTTTTATTTTATACCTATACCTAGAACGTAAATAAGTTTTAACAAAATTTAT